GCAAAACGAGTATATCAGACATATATAGATGAGCATATCACTAATCATAGAAAGCACGACAAGGGATTATATATATATATAACGTTCGTACGATCCTTTGGGTCGATGTAATTCTAATTTTGAATACTTGTTAGTGCAGATTTTGGGGGTAGCTTGTTTACTAGCGAGCTGACTCAAGCCATGCAAGCCCACTAACCTATTGTGTAATAGCGACAGCCTTCGAATGAAGATTACCCTTCGTTGAAGTTTACGCTGGAGACGTCTCGTCGAGCGACCAAGCCTCTAGAGTGTCTACGAAAAATGCACCTTATTATGCAATGAATTGCAAAGAGTCCCTGGTGGTGAAAATATAGGATCTTTGCCACCCAAGTGAGCGAGCGCACCACTCGGTGGGAGTGGCATGAGCTTTGTAACAAGCCTTTCTAATCATGTTTTACTCCTTTCGTCCGCTTATTAATCGTTCAACCCTTATGCCGTTCCCGCCTATTCAATAAACCTTCGTGGCCTTCCTGTGGCCTATCGGTATTTTACGTCGCTATAAGTTGTTCGGCTTTATACCAATGACACCGACTCAGTATGGTTCGCAAGCCAATCTTTCTATGTGCAAGTGTTTCTAATGTAAGCTAGTCGGTACCAATCGATTGATTTTGAACATTTCCATATACATTTTCACCAGGTCTCGGACAAAACACTGAAATCACAGGTAAGGCAAAATGCTAAATCATCAGAAGACTAGAGCGCGAAGACAAACCTTCGGCTCCCTGTAACCCCATACGTTATGTTCGATTGTACTTTATTGCAGATTGATAGTAGTTATCAAACTGAATGGAAATGTCACTGCTCGCAAATCTAAACGGCTTTAGGTGCCGACCAAAGCAGCCCATCGACGCCAAAAAGCAAGCTACGTACGGTAGAAATCGCTCGACGTACTGCATCTATACTGCGATGCGCAATTCCCTACCGCAGTCGCATCGAGTACATAAGAAGTGATTACACGACACACACAGGTACGACAAACGACTTGTCGTTTGAACGGGCTCAAAACGGTAAGCACGACATCGACCGCGGCCCACTGCGGGGGATTTGTTCGTGCTGTGGCCACCAGGGGCGCCTGTTCCGCTGCCCAAAACGGCCGCCGTTCTCCCTACAGTTGGTGGATCCCAATCGATCCGCTCACGACGGGTCCTCGGACAGATTTGTGCGATCGACAATTCGATCTGGCGTTTACTGGCCGTTGAACGCTTAGCAAAACTGACTGTAGAAATGTATGTACCGAACAGATCAGTCACCGAGCGGTGGATTTGCCTTCATACCGTTGCATCACGACATTACGGTTCATGACAGCTGGCTGTTTTGCTGTGCGCTAGAATGCAACGAGCTTAATGCCTGCCTACGAGTCAGTTAGCCCTGTAGGGCATATCAAGTTGCAGCAGAAACAACAGCAACTGCTGCTGTTGCTAATGGCTGCAGGAGGAACTGAGAAGTCACAGTAGCCCCGAAAACAGCATCGATAACAGTTGAATTTCGGTAGCCGGCGGACGAAAAACGAGACGGATTTCCTACTACCACACGGTCACCGTAGACACGCCAGCAGATCTGAGAAAATGGCGGGATGTCGAAGTAGACGGCCGATGGACACAGGCAACAAGACCGTCGGCCTGCTGTTGCCCCACCATCGGGATCAGATAGGTGCTGTCGCTACAAAATCAGTATCCGCCGCCGCCGCCGTCACGCGGAGTGGAACTGAAGAAAGCGACGAGTTCCGAAGAAGTTGGGCTTCGCCTGTGAAGACCGAATCGGTTGACAATAACGGCAACAAAAGACAACAATGCTACAACAAGCTAGTTGTTCCTGTTTAACAGAGTGTCGTATCAGCTTTGCTTTTCTCTATGTCAGCCTGGCTTTCAGTTCAGTTCCTTTAAATTGTCTGTCTCGACACCGATGCACGTAATGCATGCATGCATCCAATGCATATTGCCAGCGAATAAAATTGCTCGTTGCACGACGTGACGAGCAAACGACCCCGATCATCGTGGTGCTATTGTGTTGACTCAGCATAAACGCGGAACTGTCCGTCCGATCGCCGAGATGTGGGCACTGCCCATTTGACGTTACGACACCAACAAAAGCGTTTGAGCTTTTCCCTTCGGTGACTGGATCGAACGATTTAAAACTAGGATAAATGAAGCTAAGTCACACACATCAACAGTCACACAAACGAAATATAGCTGATAACCAACAATCCGTAAAATTTAGGCTACCTGTAAGGGATTGCATGGTCAGGGTACCCATTTTATAGGGTTGACTGCATGCCACTAATTATGGGCTGGTACCATTCACCTGAACGCACAATTTCCTCTGGTGCTTGACAAGTGTTCTTGTGACAATCTGGAGTGAGCCAGCGCTAAGCCGAGACTCTCGTATTTAATAAAGCAACCTATTTTGTACATTATTATATTTGGCATTTGTCACTAGTCAGGTATCTATCAAATAATATATTTAAAAGTCATAAACATATTCTGTCACACGAAGCTGATGATACACGTTGCTCTGCTTCTTAATAAACCTTCTAGAGGAAGAAAATTCGAATACCCAGAGCAAGACTTCTCGTGAGCTATTTTTTCGCAGCAATGTGACTGACTACAAAGACCCTTGAAACGCTGATTCGGAAAGTTGACTATTATTGTATGCTTGTTCCTAGTCTCGCTAGCAAAACAAGAAAGCTGCTTTTGACAGGGCCAAGATGTCCTCTGCGTTTGAATTGCCCGCCTTCCAAAAAACCGACCGGAAACAATTCCTGCGGTCAGTTTAACAAGCATTAACGGAGACCAAGTTTTCGCCACGCTTCTTTCCATGCGAACGTGTACAGCAGGCAACAGACGGACCGAGGCTATGGCCATATGGAGTCAGTAAGAGATAGCGAAAGAAAAATTCGAGATAATAGACCATAAAACGACATGGACGAGAGCGAAGCAAATTAATGATGAATTTTCTTTTTTGTCGAACGAAAAGGAGTAGGATTCGACAAAGTGGACGAGAAAAAATCAAAATAGAAAAAAAACAGACCAAAATGGGCATGGAAGGACGCTGCTTCCAGCCGCCGGCAGCAGCATCGGCACTATCCACATGCGGTGGTGACGCGGTGGCCCTTGCCGTGATCTTTACGGCAGATGCTAGTTGTTCTCTTCACAAGAGATCAACGCTGCGTAGGGAACGAAGTGCTTCCGCAGGACCGTGTCAGATGGTGCTATCGCCTGCTTCTATTCCGCGTCCGTCGTTCGTGGTCGTCTTTGCCGTTGTTTTGGTTCACTTTGAACGTTTCGCCCAGGCCTTTTCACCAAAAACCGCAGTTGCAATAGCAGTATCAACATCATCAATAGCAACATCCGAATCATCGATAGCCGTTCGATCCGTGATCGTCCGTGGTGCGTATCTGACGTCATCTATTCAGTCATAAAATGTTTAACTGCTTCTTTCTCATGTTTTTTTTTTTGTTTTTGTCTTATTTTCAATACGCGCTTTCCCCTGGTGCTCGTTTCGCACCGCTGCCGATTTTTTCTGCTGATCCGAGGAGTTGGACGAACGCTATAACGACTACAATTGTAACAGCGTTGGTTTGGCAACGACAGCGGTTTATAGGTAAATACTACCAAGTCTATGGGGAGTGGCGCGCATACCTCCAAAGGCTAGCCGCGACATATAATACAGGACAAATGTGATTAAATGAAGAAATAACAATTATCATGACGCATATATAAAGATGTAACTGAGTGAGGGAAAGGTTGAAGCATCCGGAAGCGTAGCAGAAAAAATACGATCGATGTAGTTTACTTCGTTATAGATACTTGAAATATAGCTGATCTTTGTAGTAACCGTAGAGCCAGCTGTGTTTTGTTCTTCGACAAATGAAGCCGATCCCATCAAAATCTTCGTTTCAAGTGTTACCTTCGGACGCTTGGCAAAGGTTTTACTCATGTTAAGTCTGGCGTTTAGTATCTATCTACGTTTCATATTCTGATATAGATTATATACAGTACGATGAAATCTAGTTACGGGACAGGTGGATTGTTTAACTTAAATTTTTTTTCCTACTTTGCCTACTACGATATGGTAGTATGTGGGTAAATAAACGGTGAACGAGCCGGTTTTAAGCAAACATATCGGATCCTTTAACTTTCTCTGTGACGCCATGTTTGATAGAAGCTCCGTTGACGGACGCCGTACTCATTAAGTTTACCGTCAGGTAATTTGCTAAACAAAGCTATTGGCGAAACGTGACAGTGGACTTGGGCTGAAAGTAAGCCGGTTTAGTGCTAGCACGGCTCCGTCTTTCGCTCCTCCTGGACAAAACCGTACACCCATTTTTCCTTCATGGCCTTCAAATCATAAATAGGTTAAATCAGAAGCGGACACGCAAAATAGCTCGTATGACATAACAGATAAAAAAAAAAAGAAAAAAAAATATATATATATATATTTTTTTTTTTTTTTATATCAATATTACAGTGAAAATTATTTAATTCATCTTTGGTATTAATAATTATTTATGGCTAAAGTTGAAACCTACTACTCTGGCTAATAACCTGGCTCCTTCTGGCTCTGATCCATTAAGAATGTTAGATGAACCGTTTTAAGCGCGGATCTACTATGGCGCAGGGTTATATCCGAACGTCCCAGATAGCATGTCGACCCATTTTTCCGTAACAACGAGCCCACGCCAAGCGCACGACCAGAAATATTAAACTGAAGTCAGGCCTTAGCTGATGATATTGTTGTTACTATTTCTACATATATATATTAGCAACCTACCAAATGCGACATAACCGTCTGCTCTAGTTCAAAATAATTCATGCAAGCTTTTCCATAGGCGACCAGATAACGACACCCATTGACCATATTGTTCGAGATATTACCCATTTTTCACGCGTTTGTTATGATTTCGAAGACAAAACAAATTCAACTTAATCTGTTATGTACGTTCTCGATGTGGCTGTTATTACCTGGATGACAGCCGGCTGACGAATACCACGCATCTTCGATCATCTGCGATTCCCAATCAGGTTCCGAACGGCCATACTTGTCTAGGACACGAATCGGCGTATGAGCTGAAGAGGAAATAGGGGTGAATAGCAGAATGTTAGCAACGAAAAAGTTGCTGGTCCTAGAAACTTATGAAGAGTGAATATGCCCCCCACAAACGAATATAGCACATGTTCTAAATGCCCGCTTACTGAATACGGTTTTTGTTTGCAGCAATAGGTGCTCTATAGTTTATACAGTCCTAAGATCGTTTAGCTTTTGCAGGGAGGTAGACGTGCTAAGTACATAACTGCAACAAATACTCCTACCCCCATAGCTAAAAATAAACCGCAGGGAACTGTTCATAGGATCATATTGAACTTTTGGTACGAAGAACTATTGTTTGCATCGATTTTTTTGGTATATATCTGATTTTTAAGTGATATAAAGAAGCTGCCCGACAGTTCATAATGACAGAGGTTATCCAGATCCGCTTTTCCCAAGTTACTTGTTTTTTTTTTTTTTTTACTTACTTTAATGTTAGTTCCTAATACTAGATAGACAACTAACAAGGCAGAACGACTTTCCAGCCAAACGTATCTTTCCATATAATGTTCGGATAGTAGTTGACATATTATCATGAAATGTGTGTGTGTGTGTTTATTATAGAGTGTAGTCAGCATTTAGGCAAGCGTTGATGAGTATCACCCCGTTTCTATAAAATGAGTCAATCTGATGTTATTCTCTATATATATATATATATATATATATATATAATAGTATATAATATATAATCTAGTACTATATATAGTTTAAAACGGTATCCAAGATATTAAACATCTATGCTAAAAGTCAATAATATCAAAAATTGCAAGCACTATTTTATACATTACTAATGTATCTGGCGGACGAAATATACAGACACGCTGGATCAATTTCCTACGGGGTAGGTTAGTAGCTTTTGTTTCTTATAAACATAGCAATTAAGTTGACCTTCGTCTCCGAAAAGTTATTGGCCTTTCCTATCCGACTGTCCCTTTTAGCTCTTCTTGGCGTTAGCAAGGATCGAGTGGAAAGATTAGTGAAACAATTAACAAGGGCAGGACAATAATGGGAAGGCAACCTTGCCGGAATCACCATGCTTAAATTAACGAACGCACCGAGACATCGATGTTTCCGCCGGTTGTGACCCGCAATGGGCGACGTCTCCTAATTACTGCATGTACATGTGGCTAGTAATTAATTCATTATACGCAACAATAACCGTACTTCACTACTGCTGTTTGTACTTGTCAAATCCTGTTGCTGCGGTAGTTATCGCTTTGACACTCTTCTCAGAAATGGTTCTTATTTTGTATCTAGCAAAACGTATTTAATGGTTATGACGAATTCTTCTTGCACTTTCAGCAAAGCCCAATGGGCTATGGAGGCAGGCAGTTAACGCCCGGGCGCGGTCGAGGACCGAACCGGTCAACAGTCGGTTCTGCTCTATCCACTTCAAAGCGTCGCACATCTGTCTTAATATCACAGTCACAAACGTTGTCGTCAGCAGGCCAAACAGACGCGTAAAGCGCACTTCGGCAGAGTTGCGAATGATACATAAGGAACGATAAGAGGCCTTTTGGTGCTCCGCCTGTATACAAACATGACAGTTTTCTACAGACCGGCACGCCGAGGGCCGCGACAGGCGATGACGTGCAAACGTCGGGAAAACGCTTTCATCAATAAGAGACGCTGCTTCTACAATGTATTACTGATGTCTACAGAGCGGCAAGGACATTCGGTGGTGGGTGAAGATGAACGTAGTACCGATGATGAGGATCATTGTCATCATCATGAAGTCGGCCATGTTAGCTGAGTTCTTATAGTGTTCAGACAGCAAAACGTGTGCTTGAATGGCAAGCAAACAGTGGACTTGATGATAATTAGAATAATTGTGAGTTTACCAAGTCGTTGATATCTTCACTAAAAGGACTTTAGCGGTGCATTTGAAGACGATAGCGTATGTTTACGTTAGTGTTGGATTTCAACAACGGACTGGGTGCGCGTATCTTGAAAAATGCCAATTGACACTAATTTTTTTTTTGAAGCAAATAGAATAGTTTACTGGAATTTGCTTAAGGGCAAAACTTTCGACAATGGACCTAAGTTTAGTGCTGCCTACAGATCGGGCCCGATTTGTCTGACAAAACTAAAACCTCTCCAAATTGACATCTTCATTATGGGTTTTCAGCTAGCACCTGTACAGGATAGTCATAATAGATGATATAATTCATTGCATGAGGGTTACTCTAATACCGCTCAGAGTCGGTTATCTACGCAGGCACATGCTTGGCAAAGTAACACGACGTCCTGCGAACACCAAATGGATCTGTTGGCTGGAAGTGTTACAAGTTAAAGCTTCCAGGCCATGGCTATTTAAGATTTAGACTCTGTATTAGTTGTGAGACTTTCTTGTATAGCTTCCCCCCAAAGATAACTCAACAACTTTCTAGCCTGTGGCATGTAGAAGCTAGTGCGTCCTAAGAATGTATTAATTCAACTGTTTACTCGTAGATAGTTGTAAAAGGACGACGGCCAAAGATAGCACGCTCTGATCGAGATATCACCTCTTCTTCATAACTATATGGAATTGCGTTTAATTAAATACTGATGACTATGGCCGAACGACAACAGCGTATACATATATATATATATATATATATATATATATATATACTTTTTTAAAATCTAATTCTTATGGATAAGCAGTAATAATGAAGTCACAAATGAAATGATTTCGGCTGAGCTTTAGGTGTTCGGTACAAGTTTATCTGCTTGAAACGATGTTCTATGGCTGGCTACGGATATTGGCTTGTTATTTTGTAAGCGCTTGACTCAGATACACGTACAACACTGGCTGCTATGGATTTAACGCTGTTACAAAACTGCTGTAATTATTATAATTCAAAGCATTTTCTAGATATTGAAAACATCGATGCGGGCCCTATGAATGTGAACGTTCGTAAAAAAGAGGTTTCTTCTAATAAGTATGAGCGGAGTAATACAGGCGTACAAAGAAAGGTCTGAAAACGATGTTGCGATGACGGTCGGAAGGTACTCTGTATTGGGAGAAGACCATAAATTTTGTCTCCAACAGGGGGTTCATATCGTTAACAGAGATAAATGAAATCTAGCAGTACAAATGAGCTGCGAACAAGCTTAGTAGCTAACCCAGATGGGTCGGGCACATAACATGTCGTACTGAATATTAATTTCGTTGATATTTGTATTCAGTCCTGGCAGTTGGCGCACGGCTTTCCAATGCGATCTCATTCTGCTGTGGTGTTTGAATCTTGTGAAGAATTAATAAGGGGCAATATGTAAAATCGGTGAGGAAACATATGTACATTTCGATTCGTGTTAATTTTAGCGAAGTACAATTGAAGTAGCTTTCAAGTCAATTAGCTAGTAATTATTAAGTAAAACAAAGTCAGTTTCCGTGTTCGGTGAAGGCGAAGAGCTAATCTAGCACTAAGGCGTGCGCTTCGAAGACGATTCGTGGCAGTGTTCTTCATTTAAATTTGCGCACGGTATCAATGAAAATACCAGGTCAAGTATCTCTGACCCAACCGGCTATCGGCTCCATTAGCAGCGACTGTTACATGCATTAGTTCAGTCATCATGCACGTTCACGTACTGACTTCTAGCTAATCCGTCACATATCGTATCCGGAAAGCGTCAAATTGTAATTAAGACGGTTAAATGACGTCTAATAGAAGACTCTATTCAAATTCTACTAACCCCATATTTCCGCATATTAATGGTACACATATTGGCCCACGAAGACTCTGCGCAAATACGATTCTGTCGTTCGCGTCTCTGGCATTGTCTACCCTCACATTATGGCCGCTGGTGCTTTATGACCGTCGTTACAACGCCCGATCACGGTCGTCTAGTTGACGCGGCTGGAAATGATTTTTAATTTTTTTTCCGATCTTCCTCTTTCTTCCTTGGCGTATCTGTCTTCTTTTTTTTCCGGGAAATTTGCCTTTGATCAAATGCCGACGTTACAGCGATCTCGTTCGTACCCATAGTTATCGTCGACTGCTCTACGACTAGAACCGACCAGCGAGTGCCTGTTTCTTGTTGATAATAATGCATTTCTACGAGTTTTCTGCTGTTCCTTCATTCGACGTTGTTTTTATTATCTGTTCCGTCACTTTTATTTCTGATAAAATAATAATATAAACACTGATGGCATCGGTTAGCCAGATCGGGTAGGCTGCTAGAAATTCATTGGAAGGAGCGAGGTACCAACAAATCATGCGGCCGCCAAGTTTCAGACGCTGCTGACTACCAGCGAGTTCGAATATGGCTTGCGGACTCATAGAATACAGAAACTTCATAGACCGGCAAATTTAGCTACATTACATAGAGCGTAAGACGCTCACCGCACTATATAATACAACACTCTACTAAAACATGGATGTGATATAATCACTCAACGACACAATCAGCCCCGTCAACGCATCGGAGGGTGAAGGCATCGCAAGGCGCGTATGTCCGAAAAGCAGTCCTACGCAAAGCATCGAACGCTCGAAAATATCGAGGCTCAAAAAGCTGTATTTCTAGACTTCTGCGTCCGTTATGGCCGCCTTGCTAAAAATTCTCAACGCCACGGATGTGTCCGTGCTAATCTCATTAACTTATTATACAAGTTATTAATGTCACCATTGTAAATGGGTGACGACAGACTTCAAAGCAACACATTGCGTAAGGACGGCGAAGTCTTTAGTTCTAAAGTATAATGTACCCTCGAAGAGTGTTATTAATGTTAATAAGGGAGCAAAACACGGATCTGGGAATCAACATTCTCTATTTGAGCGTTCGGCTTTTGCTTGTGCATTCAGTTTTCGCCTCATTGTCTATACGATGTATTAGACTGAGTGAAAAGTTCCCATTCTGGCCGACACCTGGCGCTAGCATTGGATCGGCTGATCGTCTTGAGCTAAAACTTCATAAGTTAATTGTTTTGGCTGCGTCCTGTTGTTTTCCTTGAGCTCTGGCCGTTGGAAATAGCTCAAAGTAACGCTTCTGATTCGTG